AAACCTCTGCCTTAGGCCCATACCATAGAATCATAGAACTGAAAGGGACCTTGAGAGGCCATCTAGTCCAGTTCCCCGCACTCGTGGCAAAGTATGTGTGTGCTGTGATGCCAAATGTACCCCCCAGCCCCATGCTAGGGCCCTGGCTCCCCAAACGAGGCCTGGAGGGAGCCAGGCACCTCAGGAAGGGTTTTCAGAAGCTGGCAAGCTGAGCAGGGAGCTGCCTACGTTAGCCTGGCGTACAATGCCAAGGAGAGGGGCTCAGGCGCCCAAGCAGCTGACCTGGTGCACTTGCCCATGGGACCCCCTCTGCCCTGGATCCTGAGCCACAAACCCTCTCCTAGCCATGCCCTAGCAGCCCAAACCTTCTCTCTCTCCTGCTCCACTCAATGTTTCCCTGTGCCCCTGGCTGTCTCTTGTGGGGAGCTGGGCTGCCCCACACTTAGGGGTGGGCTAGATCCAGCCCCCCTGCTATAGGGTCTGACAGGTATCAGCAGTTAGGATGCTCAGAGCACACCCACAAGCACGATGGGAGCATTGGGGGGGCGGGGCTTACTACTGTTCGGGGCTAGCTCCCTTCTGCCTGATGGCCCCCTTCCTTCTCACTGGGGTTTAAATTAAAGCTACTTGACATTCAGGGTCCCCCTACTTCTTCCCCACAATTCAAGTGCCGCTGACAGGATCGGGCCCTACTGGCAGTACCTGCCTCCCCCCCCCCACCGCCGCCGCCCCCCCTTAACTGAAGAATCCTGCTTTGGGGCCTCTGGAGTGGGGGCTCGAGCGAGGGCACCAAGCTGCCCATTGGCTGTGGGGTGGTGTCAGGGCTTCAGTGGCTTAACAAATACCAACCGGTGGAAAAATAGGCACCTTGGGGATTTAGGCGCCTGTGGGGCTAGGTGGCAGCTGAGGGATGGTTTTGAGAATGTCGGTGGGGCCTAAAGAGGCAGATCTGACCTTCATCTCTCTGTGCCTAGTCCTCCCCACCTGTACAATGGGGTGACGGCCCTGCCCTGCCTCCCAGGGAGTTGTGAGGATAAATGCATTAAGCCTGTGGGGGATTCAGAGCCTATGGGAATTGAGGCTAGAAACGTCCCTAAGCTAGCTAAACAGAGCAGGCATGGCCTGGCTACACAGGCCTCCTGGCTGTTTGGGGCTAGAGAATCTGATCCTCAGCTCTGTGGCTTTTACGCTGCGTCTGATCCAGCCAACAGGCCTGGGCCCAAACGTAGGGCAACCAACCGTCCCTTATTTCAAGGCACATCCCTTGACCATTTTAAACATTAAATTGACGCTTATGATAGTTGCATTGTACATGAGGGCAACAGAAATGTCCACTTGACAGAAAAATACATGACAGGCTAAGGGGAATGGCGTTTCCCGAAAATGACCTTTAAAATAAGGGTTGTTGCTTATTTTTCATGTTATTTCCCGTATTTCTATCCAGCAAAGGAGGTCCCCTTATCCGAACTATTCACTAAACAAGGTCATGTGAGCAGAAACTGTCAGAGGCCGCCTGGCCGTTTACACACACACACACACACACACACACACACACACACACACACTTCCAATTCTGTGTCTGTACATTTCAGACTCGAGGCCTGCAGAAGTCTTGGCCCATCGCTGCGGGAGCTGCCATTTTATTTCCCAGCGGAGGTTCCTCTTTGGTGAGCTGTTGCTGTGGTTATAACCAGTCTTTAAAAAACCCTAGGACATACCTTGCAACAAATGAGAGAGGCTCCTGTTTCCTCCTGCAGAAAGATACTGAGCTGCATTTCCGGTGCTTTAACCTTCATCTTCAGACTGACAAGTTGGCAGCTTCCTGTCTGATTGTGAACTAGTCTAGTCTTTTCTTACTAGTCTTTTCTTACTATATTTAAGACATTGGAAGAAAGTGTGTTAGTAGCTGAATCTTCATTGTCATTAGATGAAATAACTAGAATCTCTTTTGTGCTGCACTGGAGTTTTCCCTTCAGATCAATTGTAAAGTGAGAACGAACATATTCCCTCTTCAGCTCATCACTTGAAGGTGCAGCTTTAGGCTTGAGGCAGAGAGACATTTTACAAGCAGTGACCTTGTTACACCTTCTTTAAGCAATTTCTTTAAGGTGTTTTGCAAAAGGCTTGCTAAACTAGCCCAGTAAGTACACAAATGGGGAGACAGAATTCTGCTCTGACTTCTGACACTGATTCACTGTATAACCTTGGGCAAATCGTGTAGCTTCTCTGTGCCTCGGTTTCCCCAATAGATAAAATGGGGGATAATAAGATTTACCTCCTTCACAGGGATGTTTTGAGGCTCAAAAATAACACAGGCAGCTGAAATTAGGTCCCAAAGTTTGATTTTTATAGAAACAAGCCTTTATAAAACTGAAAAGTAAGAGAAATGAAAAGGAAATAATTTCTTTAAAGCTGTCCCACATACATAAATGTCTTCAGGACTTGAATGTAATGAAAAACAAAACAAACACCAAAAACAGTATAAAGAGTAAAAATTTAAAAAAAAGTTACAATTTTTTTCAAATTCATTAATTGAACATGTAATTGATAGCATGGGTAAGAATTTTTTAAAATACCTATTGTTAATCTGAGAGTGGTCCTTTTGTTAATTAAGCTTTGTTAAAGTGCTTTGAAAGGTGTTATAGTAAAAATATTTGCCTTTCTCGAGCACTTTCCATCCAAGAATCTCAAAGAGCTTTATGGAGCCTCCCAACTTACACTGTGTGGTAAGCAAATATTACAATCCCCATTTTACAGTGGGGAAACTGAGGTACAGATAGGGTAAGTTTACACAGTAAGAGAATGGCAGTCAAGATTAGACCCCAGAACTCCAAGTTCCATGCTCTGACCACTAGACCATGCTGCCTCCTTAACACAGCAAAAATGCACTTCCATACACACTGAATGAAAGCATGACTCTTCCTCGTGATTTCTTTAACAGAATTGCTGGCTTGTTAAAGGCAGGGGGATTTTTGTGTACTCTCAGCCTGGAATTATACCAGGAGTAACCCACTGGCCATCCAAGAAAGATGTAGAGATTTAGCCAGCTGCTCTGACTTCCGAAATTTGCAGGATGCAAAACAGACCCAAATGTAATACATGAAAGAGAGGGGGAAACACTTCCATTGCATTCATGCAGTTTGCAGAATAAAGTGACAAGCCCAGTCCCAATCCCCTTTCATTATCAGTGAAAGATCCCTGGTTCCTCTAATTCTCCTAATGGAAGGTCAGATTAAGCCTGGCATTTTAATTCTAGCGCTACACGTTAGCGGCGTCCAATGGGCATGCAGGCCCAGATCCCTGATTGCAATGGAAGTTAGGAGCCTAAATACCTTTGAGGATCTGGGCCTTAGCCTCTGCAACATTCACAACTGCCCTGGAAACTTTCCAAGAGACCCCATATGATTTGCAGGACACCAAGCAGCAGCAGACCTGCCCCCCTTCCTCCCCTGTAGTACCGCTGCGTTTTGAGATGTTCCCTCTTTCTCAGTTCCCAGTACAGAATAAGACAGCACAGGATTGTGAGGTTCAGAGCTTGCATGGGATTTAGGAGACCCTTGATTCCACGTGCTTGTGACCAGGTCTGTGTAGGCCACGTTTGTCTTATCAGCCAGGCTTTGAGGCCATGTCAGGTGCATGGGTAGCCCACCAGTCAGCGTATATTAGGTGCTCCCCACCTGATCCACAAAAGATGTGTTTGTTAAAGCTGGCTCTGTGTTTAGCTCCAGAGGTCTGTTTCTATCCCTGCGGTGTGCTGAGATGGCACACACTCGGATCTTTCCTCCATGACTCATTACAGAGCCCAGAGCCAGAGCTTCCAATGGAGATGGGGGAAAGCAGGTTTGCTGTTCAGCCAGGGAAGGTGTGTGGGTAGGGAGTGGGGAACACAAGCTATCCTCCTGCAGTGCTGAAGCTCGTGACAGTGCTAGGGGCCGAGTTGGCACAGGCTAACCCCATGCAGTGTGCACGAGGCGTGGGATTTACACACATTAACCCCTAGCCCCATTTTACAGATGGGGAAACTGAGGCCCGGTGAGGGCAGGGATTGGCTAGGGCAGGCAAGTGAGCCAGGACTGGAACCCAGCAGTCCGGATTCAGAACCCAGCTCTGAACACTGGGACATGCCCCTCTCAGAGAGAGCCCAGGAGTCCGGGCTCCCCTCCTAGCACAGCTCTGTGCCTACTGCAGCTGCTTGGCTGGTCGTGGGGGCCGGGGAGACTGCAAAGAGAAGGAGACACTGTCCCTTTAAGATGGGACTTGTTTCTCTCGCTCTGGTTTGTTTACATCTTCCTCCGCTCCGATCAAGGTCTCATCACAGTCACTTTACATTTTACGCAGTTCCCAATCCCTGGTGTCCTTCCGCCTCCCACGCGCGTGTCGCTTTTAGGCCCCTCTCGTTTCCAGTCGGAGTTCACCCCCAACCCCCATTCCCACGCTGCGACTGAGGGGCAAAGTGGCCCATCCGCAGTCTCATTCGCTCAACCCACGAAGCCATCCAGGACTATTTTGGATCGTACCATTCCTCTTCATGGGGAGGGAAGATAGGACATTCCGCGACACATACATTGAGAGAAAGGGGACCGTACGGCTACTGACTTTTGTCCTTAGAAAGCCCCTTGAAGGTCGCTTGGAGCCGTTCGAGTTTAAGACCCCTGAAAAAACAATGGTAGGGACCAAGTGCCACCCCTACTCTCTCATTGGTCTAGCCGCAGATGAAGGACCAATGGTTTACCCGAAGAAGCCTTGGAGGCCAATGGATGGTACTGTGCGCCTAGCCACGCCCACCTCTCTAGCTGATTGGCCGCAGGAGAGGCCCCGCCGCGACTCTGGGAACCGTAGTCGCTCCAGCAGGCGCGGGCCAGGGAATCGATCGGGACGGGAAACCACAAATCCCAGCATACGCCGGGGCGCGGGGCGGGCAGCGCGCCTGCGCGGAGTGGGGCGGGGTCTGGTGCCTTTATATAAGGCGAGGCAGCGGACTGCGAGCTGCAGTTGGGAGCTAGGAGCGCAGGGTTCGGGAGGCGGAGCCCCGGGGAAAGGCGGGGCTGGGCGGCGGAGGAGGAGGCTGGACCTGAGATGAGTGTGCCAGGTCTCGGCGCAGCAGCCAGGCAGCGGCCCGCTCCGGGGCGGGACCAGAGGCGTTAACCCCTTCGTGGCCGCGGACACGTTAACCCCTTGGGGCCTGGCGCGGACTGACTCCTTGGCTTGGAGGCTGGACTCCCCGCGCTGCCCGTTCCCGATGCGCCAGGCTCGGGCGCGCCGGGCGGAGAGCGCTCGCCCCTGAGCCGCCTGAGGCGCTAAGCCCCGGCCAGCGAGCAGCAGCAGCGGCCCGGCCATGGCTGACCCCCTCCTCGCCGAGCGCCCGCAGCCGCCGTCCGGCCAAACTTCGGCCGCGGAGCCCGCCCCGGCCCGCCGCGAGCCGGGCGGGAGGTGGGCAGCGAGAGGAGCCGAGCAGCAGGCTGGCAGCCCGCGGGCGGAGGAGAGCGCGTGTCGGGCTTCCCCGCCCGCCGGGGCATGCCAGGGCGAGGGCCGCCCGGAGGGAGGCGGCGAGGAGGCGGAGGGCGGAGAATGGGCCGCCGGGGAGGGGCAGCCTCCCGCGGATGGACAAAGAGCCGGGCCCCAGCCGGCCCCGCAGGGCCAGGGCTATGCCGGGGCGGGGGGCCACAGGTACCGGCCCTCTGTCGGGGGAGAGGAGGAATGGCGGCAGCGGCAGCTGGGCAAGAAGAAGCACAGGCGGCGCCCCTCCAAGAAGAAGCGGCACTGGAAGCCCTATTACAAGCTCACCTGGGAGGAGAAGAAGTTGTTTGATGAGAAGCAAAGCCAGCGGGCTTCCAGGCTCCGGGCGGAGATGTTCGCCAAGGGGCAGCCAGTGGCTCCTTACAACACCACCCAGTTCCTGATGGAGGATCATGATCAGGAGGAGCCGGATCTTAAGACTGGCCTTTACCCCAAGAAGGCTGCAGCCAAGTCAGATGATACCAGCGAGGAAGACTTCCTGGAGGAGGCAGCAGACGAGGATGGGGGCAGCGACGGGATGGGAGGCGACGGCAGTGAGTTTCTCCAGAGGGATTTCTCAGAGACTTACGAGAGATACCATGTGGAGAGCCTGCAGAACATGAGCAAGCAGGAGCTGATCAAGGAGTACTTGGAGCTGGAAAAATGCCTTTCCAGGATGGAAGATGAGAACAACAGGCTGAGGATGGAAAGCAAAAAATATGGGGGGGACTCTGCAGAGGATCCTAGGGTAAGAGAACTCGAGCTGGAACTGGACAGGTTGAGAGCTGAGAACCTGGAGCTGTTGAAAGAGAATGAACTTCACAGACAACAGGAGAAATCTCTTTCCAAGTTTGGAGAGTGAAACTTTAGGGGGTGGATGGGGGTGGGACTTTTTACATTGATGGAATGTAACATTATATACATGTGTATATAAAAGACAGTGGATCCTTTTTATGATACATAATCAGAATAAACCACAGCCTTGTATTGTTTTTGAAGCTATAGCTATAGTGTAGTGTGTGTTCTGTTAACTATGTGCAACTGAGAATTCCCCCCTTTAAGATAAATGTGACTCAAGGGGAGGGGTGTGTCTGTTTGATGTGCAAGTAAATTTGACTCAACTTATGATGCGTTTTATGTTTAAACCAAAAGGGAAAAAATCCAGGGGGAGGGGAAAAAACCCTAGGGAATTGTAAATCGGCCAAATTCTGAAAACAATAAAATTCATTATAGAGTTCTAATAAATTTAATTACTTGTAAATGTAACAGTTTCAGTGTGATTTCTAGAAGAATATTCAAAATAGCATTCTCCTAGGTGGGAATATGTTTTGAATAATTATTCAAGTGATTTGTATTTTTAAATGGCTTATATTGCCTAATATAAAATCAACAGAACTAAGGCTTAGGCCTGGTCTACACTAGGACTTTAATTCGGATTTAGCTGCCTTAATCCGAATTAACCCTTCACCCGTCCACACTACAGAGCCAGTTAATTCGAATTAAAGGGCCCTTTAAATCGATTTCTGTACTCCACCTCGACGAACGGAGTAGAGCCTAAATCGATTTTGTTAATTCGAATTAGGGTTAGTGTGGACGCACACCACCGAATTACTGTGTTTAAGTTAATGGGGTAGTGTGGCCGCACACCACCGAATTAATGTGGTTTAAAACCGAATTAAGGTGCTTAGTGTGGCCGCGCACAATCGAATTTATACAACCTGTTTCCCAAATTCGAATTATCTAAATTCGGATTAATCCTGTAGTGTAGACATACCCTTAGACTTAATTCTTTTGCATCTCTGCTCCCTGCAGCCCACAGAACTTCCTATTTCCAATTCTAAACCACTAACGCTCTAATGTAAGTGGGTTCATATAAACCCATTTTGTGTTCTGGTGGCTTAGCAAATATTTTTGCTGTAACAAAAGTAAATGCAGCTGGGTTGGTGGGCAAGTGGTCAGTTCTATACTTTGCTTCTACTTTATCATGTTTTTGTAGTAGTCATTCACTTATTCTGCCTTAAGTTTCAAGGATAGTTCTGAATTTCTAATCTCATCTTTCATCTGTCTGGAGCTGCTAAGAACCTAACTAAGCACTGCCTACAACATTTGTGTTTATAGGCACCTTGATTTTTTTAATCTACTTTAAACTGCAGAACAGAAGTCTGATCCTTTAATAAATGCTTAGTAAAATTGTGCAATAACCTTTAGGAGTTTTAATGTACAGAAATGTGACCCACAAGTGATGGGGATAAGGTAGGTCAGTGAAAAATTGTATTATCTTAAAACCTATTTTTCTAACCTCTGAATGAGAATAAAAGCAAGATACAGGGGAGAAAAAAAGAGATCTGTATTCTCTCCAAACCACTCTGTATAGTGGAGTGTGGTGTCAATTTTCCCTTGTGCTGAAAATTTTGCACTTTTATGTAATCGCAGAGGGTCAGACTCAGGACATTATCTCAGTGCATAGACCAGTGAGATCTCCTTCACCCTAAAAGACAACCTGGTGTGGACTAGTAGCCATTTAAACACATGCAATTTTCAATTCATCAACCTAATACTGAGTGTGACTATTTCTACCAATTTTGATACTAGCCTGTATGTACAGTTTACCCAACCCTATCTAGTCAGTGTCTGAGCAGCAACTGGGCTTAAACTACAATATGCAAGTGGAGCAAATTAGATTCACCAGCTAAAGGCAATTACAGCTGGGATGGGCAGCACAAGTAATCCACATTTCAAATAGAAATTGTACAAATTAGTCCAGCCGGCCATGCAATGACCTAGGGACTCCAATATTAAGGATCAAGATGGATTTTAACTACATGTTCCTGGCAGAAATTCTGCTTTAAGGCATGTATTGCTATCAATTCTTCTTTTTGGAAAGAAAAACAGAAAATTATTAAAGATCTATTTGTGATAAATAGGTTTGTCTTAATTTTCTTTTCCTTCTGCTATGACATTAGTCAGCAGAGTAGGGCTGGTGCACTATAGCTTCAGTTGTAGAGAAGGAAGGCTGGTGTGAAGGAAGCACCACAGACCATGATATCAGCCTTCTGAAGAGGAAGACTGGATGGCAGAAATCAACAGCAAGGAATAAGTTAATTCCAAGTACAAATGAAATTCTCTCCAAGGAATATAAATACTATGGTTTTAAACTTCTACTATTCTTTTGAGTACTTTGTATGTAATATTTCCACAAATCATATTTTTCTTTTGAATTATAAAACAGGCAAGATTGTGCTGTGTAACATTTTCTAGGATGGAGGGTAAGGTACAGAAAAGGGCAACAATAATGATTAGGCGTGTGGAACAACTGCCATATGAGGTGGGTTAGTAAAATGGGATTTTTCAGCTTGGAAAAGAGATGATGGGGGGGGGGGGAGAGAATATGATAGTCTATAAAATGACTAGTGTAGAGAAGGTAAATAAGGAAGTGGTGTTTACTGGAAACAAAAACTAGGGGTCACTAAATGAAATGAATAGGCACCAGGTTTAAAACAAACAAAAGGTATTTTTTCACATAATGCACAGTCAACCTGTGGAACTCCTTGCCAGAGGATATTGTGAAGGCCAAGACTATAATAGGGTTCAAAAAAGAACTGGATAGGTCCATCAATGGCTATTAGCGAGGATGAACAGGGATGGTGGCCTTAGCGCAGGGTGGGCAAACTACAGCGCAGGGTGGGCAAACTACAGCCCACGGGCCAGATCCAACCTGAGGGATTACCACCCCTGTGACGCTGCAGGCCCTGTGCTGCTCCCAGAAGCAGTCAGCACCATGTCCCTGGAGGAAGGGGGGGCAGAGGGCTCCATGCACTGCTCTCACCTGCAGGCATCACCCCCCACAGCTCGCATTGGCCAGGAATGGGAAACTGTAGCCAATGGGAGCTTCAGGGGAGGTACCTGCAGGGGAGGGCAGCACAAGGTGCCCTCTGTTTCCCCCCCCCTCCCCCAGTGGCCACAGAGACATGGTGCCGGCCCCTTCCAGGAGTGGGGCAGGCAGGGAGCCTGTCTTAGCCCCACTGCATGTCGCTGCCACCCCAGAGCGGCTCCAGGTAAGCAGCACCAGGCCAGAGCCTGCACCCCAACCCCCTGCCACACCCCTCCTGCACCTCAACTCCCTGCCTGCACCCCAACCCCTGCCCTGAGTCCTCTGCTGCACCCCAACCCCCTTCCTTGAGCCCTTTCATACACTCCACATCCCTCCTCTGCCCCAACCCCTTGCCCTGAGCCCCTTCCTGCACACTGCGCCCCAGCCCTACATTCATGGCCCTGCATGGAATTTCCCCACCCACATGTGGCCCTTGGGCCAAAAAGTTTGCCCACCCCTGCCTTAGCCTCTGGTTGCTAGAAGCTGGGAATGGGCAACAAGGGATGGATGACTCTGTGATTAGCTGTTCTGTTCATTCCCTCTGGGGCACCTGGTATTGGTCACTGTCAGATGACAGGGTACTGGGCTAGATCTACTTTTGGTCTGACCCAGTCTGGTTGTTCTTATAAGGAAAATAGCAGATGTGCATTATTGCACAGTAACCTCAGCATTTAATATTGGTGCTTCAACTTATAGCAGGGGTCAGCAACCTTTCAGAAGTGGGGTGCCGAGTCTTCATTTATTCACTCTTAATTTAAGGTTTCGTGTGCCAGTCATACATTTTAATGTTTTTAGAAGGTCTCTTTCTATAAATCATTAATATATAACTAAACTATTGTTGTATGTAAAGTAAATAAGGTTTTTAAAATGTTTAAGAAGCTTCATTTAAAATTAAATTAAAATGCAGAGGCCCCCGGACTGGTAGCCAGGACCCATGCAGCGCGAGTGCCACCTTTGGCACATGTGCCATAGGTTGCCTACCCCTGACTTATAGTAATATACCACCATGAAGCTTAGTTTCTAATATTAACATGAAAATTTTAATTACATATGAAGAAATGTTTAGTCAAATGTCACAGCAGTAGCTATCCCAAATACAAAATGACTTCTCTAGTCTACACTAGAGTACAACCCACATTCACTGGCAAATATATTTCTACAAGCTAGTTCAAACACTCAACAAATGTCTCTTCCAGGACATTTACAAAGGTGTTAGCAAATCGATGGGGGTTCTTCCAGCATGGAGGGCCAATTCTCCAAATCAATGCTTTGATTTAATCAGTGGTTTCCACATGGGATTGAGCTTTTGGACCTCTGGGGAATGCTTTAGTGAAAAGGGGAGTCCTGTAGTAGGTGAGAGTAGGGTTATTTCTAATCTCTTTTTAAGAGGGATTTCCAGTGAGAAGGGTCTTCCTTCAGCTCTCTTGTGTTTATACCTGTTAACCTGCAGCACATCAGGCAATCCTAGGTGATGCAACACATTGCAGAGACAGAGGCTGTCCCCACAACAGGGTTGGCAGGTTAGAGAGAGGTAGGCTTCCCTCCCCCCCACGGTTGGCCTCTCACATTAAAGGGCTTTGGCAATCAGTAGAAGATCTGGTAACAGACAGGCAGATAGTCTAAGTTGCAGAACACCAGTGTAATACATGCTCTTTGGCTCATCTGCTAGAGCCAGGCCTCTACATTATGCATCTGTGAACTTTTTGTCTAGATCCAGCTAGAGTGAAGAGTAGTCCAGACTGGCAGTGCTAAGCACATGGCCCACTGTGGCCAGATCATCTGAGGGGAACAGGTGCAATCTTCTTGGTAGCCAAAGATGAAAGTAAGTGCTTTGAGGGTTGCAGCTACATCATGGGGGGGGGGGGGGGAAGGATAGCTCAGTGGTGAGAGCATTGGCCTGCTAAACCCAGGGTTGTGAGTTCAATCCTTGAGGGGGCCATTTAGGGATCTGGGGCAAAAATCTGTCTGGGGATTGGTCCTGCTTTGAGCAGGGGGTTGGACTAGATGACCTCCTGAGGTCCCTTCCAACAATTCTGTGTGCAGACAACACCAAACATTTTGTTTTCAATTCTGAGCCTCTCCATTGCACCATATATGAAAAATTGATCCACATTGAGATGAGCGGCTTACAGGGCATACTGCCATCCTAGTAAAATATATATTGCCTAAAACTCCAGTGTGTTCTCAGTGATCTAGTAATTCTCCCATTTTGTGCTTCAGGAATACCTTTTAGTTTTCATTCTTAGCACTATTAGGGGTATATATGTGTTGAGCATTTCAACACATTTGATACACTGGTCATTGATAAGGAAGCAGTCTTCAGATGACAGCATTACAGTTTCCTCCCTATTCAGATGTTGTTTTTAACCAGTGGTGGTGGTTCTCACTTTTTCCT